CTTCTAAAATAGTATAAAGGCACTAGTTCTATACTATTTTAAGCTGCTTAATTTTTATCTTACTAATCTGCTTTTTTATACCTAGTATAGTATACTAAAAGGTGTATTTATATATAATAGCAGGCCTAATAACCGCTAAGTATATTATATATACCTTTTAGAAGCTTACGCTTTAGGTTAATACTATAAGCCTTATAAAGGCCCCTATTTAGGCTATAGCTTTATTTTCTATAGTATTAATATATAGGCCCTATTTAAGTTTAGAATTTACCTAAACTTTTAGTATTTTTAGGTTTATTATAAAGCCTTTAGTAAAGCCCTATATATTAACTATAGCTTTTATATTAATAGACTTACGGGCTTTTATAAAATATATTAGGTAGTATTTATCTAGCGCAAAAACTGCTCTATACTTTCTTACCTACTTTATATACTAGTTATACGCCTGTTTAATAGCCCTATAGTTCTTTTCTATACTTTTACTATATATAAAAATATTTATATTATTAATAAACCTATAGGCTGTTATATTACCGCGCTATAGTATTAGTAAAAGCGTGCTAGTAAAAAAAAAAAAAAGTATTAGTAATAGGAAAAAGCCCTGCAGTATTCCTATAGTAACTATAATAAGTTCTACTATAAAGTTTTTAATAGTAAGCCTTATAGTATAGTTCTATAAAAAGAATCTTATAAACCTAACTATTTACTTTAGCACTTATTAAATCTATAGGTTATATATTATATATTTATATAATACACGGTTAAACGCCCCTAATATATTTAGGCTAAAAAGTAATACTATAAGCTATAGATTTCCTTTCTATATAGCGTGGATTTATTTAGTAAAAAGCTTAAATACTATTTATATTAAATATCCTAGTCGTGCTCCTATCTAACTAAGTAGAAGTATATTTTTTTCTTCCGTAATTTTCGATAGCTATATAGCTATAATCCGTTTAAATAGCTTACCTATTATTTCTAGCAGGGCGATCGGCCTATAGGCTTTTACCGTTATATAGAACGCTTTTTAGGGCTTATATAGCACTACTATAATAGAATTTTTAAACGGCCGAAGATAGTATTTTTTATATAGGCACCTTATAAAAAACCGAGCTAGTATAGGCGCTAGCTATATTTCGCACTTTTTAAAAAACCTATTAGTAATTCCTATAATACCCGGGGCTTTATTTAGGGCAGTTCCTATTAGTACTAAAAAAATATTCTTAATTATAATATCTAGCGTAGTATTATATAGTTCCGGGTATTAAAACCCTTTTAGGTCGAATAAGTCTATATTAGCTAGAGGCGGAAAAAACTACTCTACTAGTATATATACTTTTATTTTATTATCTATATATAGAGTAGGGTTTTTAGGTTTTAAAAAAAAGGGAAATTAAGGCGGAGGTTTTAATTTCTTACTAGCTATATAGCCCTAATTAGCTAGCTTTTATATACTTTTTAGGTTTTTTATTACTTTTTCTACTATATAGCGCTATATTTTAGTACTCTCCCTTTATATAGTTTTCTTTTTACGGTTATACTAAATATAGTATAATATCTAGTCTTCTATAAATCGCAACGAGCACTATATTCTATACGCCCTTTTAGTTTTATATACTTTCTCTAAGCATTTTTCTAACTATACCAGCGATACCTGTTTTAATAGCCTTATAATAGGTACTATAGCAGTAATTATAGCCTATATATATTTATAGAAAAGGCGTGCGAATTTATTAAGGTCCTCCTCCGTGTTTTAAAAGTTATTCTAGTTATTTAGCTTATCTAGCTAGGTTTAGAGGTGCTCCCGCGCCTTTTTCTAGTTAGTATTCTTCTATAGCTAATATTATAGCTATTCTACTGCGCTTAGTAGGGTAATATTAAACTTTATATATATAGGGCGGTAATCTAAATTATAGTTCTATTTTTCTTATACTATATAAAAAGTAGTTTATTCTATTAGCTATTCTATTATAAACGTAAGGTTAATTATAGACTATAATATTTCTCTTGCCTATATTTCTATACCTTTTTCTATAGCCAGGTCTATTTCTGCTTCTATTATAATACGGATAAGCTCTTCTGCTTACTCCTCTATATTTATTACTTATATTCCTTTCTATAATAGGTAATATAGGTTTATATTACCTATAAAAATATGCTCTGCGTTATTATTATTTAGTAGTAGAGGTAGTGCGGCTATAATTCCGTTTAGTTTCGGGTTATAAATATTATAAATTTAGATGTCCTTTCTACTAGTATAGAAAAAGAAGGTAATAAGGTTTAGTAAATAGTGCTCTACTAACTACTAGTTAATATTAAGGTTTTTATTAATATATATATATGTTTTTATATATAGGCTTTTTTTATATAAAAGGTAATAGAACTTTATATAAAGTATTATATACTTTTATTGCTATATATTTTTCTATAGCTTTTATATTACTAGTACTAGCGGTTAAAGCTAGGCTTTCTCCGCTTTTTCTAGGAACTTTCTCTAGGTTTTACGGCTTTTATTAATATTATACTGTATAATAGTAAGTATACTAGGTTATTCTAATATTAAACTATATCTATAGTATCTACGGCATTTACTGCACCTATTTCGGCGCGTAGTTGCTAGCTTATATTATCTTCCTATAAAAATAGCACTTAAATAATAGTTTTAAGTTATAAAAGTCTATTTATATCTCTATATATTATTAATTAAGTTAACTAGGTTAAAGGCTATAAAAATAGTAATATAAAGCAAGAAGTATATAGTATTTAAAAAGGTATTAAATAGGAAAATTACTGCGTTAAATAAGCAGTCTATATTATTCCGTTAATTTTTAGCTAGCTTAGGTTCTTATTAGAATGCTTAAATATCTTCGGTTGTCCTACTTTTTTTAGTACTGTTAGCGCTGGCCCTAGTTCTATACTACCTTCGCATGCATTATTATTAGCAGCTTTTTTCTTCCTAGACTAGGTTAAAGTTATATATACCTCTAGTAGGGCCTAGAGCGTATATAAGCTCGGCCTTTTATTAGTATTATATTAGTATAGCGTCGCCTACCTCTTTAATATAGCCTATAGCTGGGCCCCTTTTCTTATACTATATTCGGCACTATATACTAAGTGGTTTTTCTTATAGTTAGCGCACTTTTTAGTATCTATTACCGTGTATTATTTTATATTATATTCCCCTGTATATACTATATATTAGATGTCCTTTTTATAGTATTTTATAATATACCTATAGCCCTGGCATCTAAAGTACTATATAGCTATAAAGCCTGCTTTATATTTTAAGGCTGTTAGCAATTATCTACTTATTATAAATTCCTTTATAATAGCTTTGTCTGCTATTACTTCTATGCGCACGCTGGTAATAATTAAGCTAGCGTATCGGCCTGGGTTCTCTCGCGCAGCTTTTATACCCTTTTTATTCTTCTATATTATCTTCTTAATAACTAGGCCTAGGTTAATTATCGCGTTGGCCCTAATAATATTATCTTTAAGTGTTTAGCTTTCTAGGTCTAAGTTCTTAGGTACTCTATACACCTCTATTAGCACTGCGGGCAGTTATATGCATGCCGTCTTGCCCAGCACCTGCACCTATTCCCTTTTTTTAAGCAGTGCTTTCTTTATAGCCTTATCCGCAATGTATGCCTTAACGTTTCCACTCTATAGCTTCCTTATGCCGCTAATCTTTGTTGTGTTCGGTGGTCCGGCTGCTTAAAGCTTCTGGGTGATAGTTATGTTCGTATCTGCTGCGGTTATAGTTCGCTCGTTGTTATCCTCGATATGGATGGTGATTTCATGGACATTTGTAGGTTGCCCTGCATACTGCCCATTTCCTGCTGCCTTCCCGTATTGCGCAGCCATGCCGCTTAGCATGGCTGATGGTGTTGTGCCTGCTGCTGCTGCTGCTGCTGCGGCATACGTCTTCCCGTGCGTTGACAACGCGTGTGCCTCCTTTTTCGTGTCCTCCATCATCTTTATCAGCTTTTTCCATGGTGTCTGCCGTAGGTCGATCGCGGTATCCGAGAGGCCGAACAGGACGCGTCCTGCAAAGTCGTAGAGGGTTTGGACGATCGCATTCATCTCGAGGGATTGGATTGGCTTATTCCGCAGGAGGTCTTGTATGCCGTGTGCTTCGTTGACGAGGTCTTGGACGTCCTGGTGGACGTTCTTGATGGGCTTCGGGTTTTGGTGTTGGTTTTGGCGTTGTTGTTG